TTCACCAATGATCATGAAAGTGATGAATTTCAAAATTCATTAAGCCACAAAATTTGAAAATCTCATTCAGTACTTAGCAAATTTCCCAGTATCTCATGAATAGATCATGCTTAACGCATGAATTCAATTGCTTAATTGTTCCACAATTTCAGTATCAAAATGGTCCACAAGTATACTGGGCTATGGGCGTGAAAGTAACGACTCGATGTAAGAAAGGTAATTGGTGACAACTGTTTTTTGACCCTATCATTCCGATCATGAGTAATTTAAGAATGCCAATCATGTCACATCAATCGACCAACTCCATCCAAGAACGGTGCTCTTAACTCCATTAGCTCCAAGAGGACAGGAACAAAGCGATTCAGCTTCTTTCAACATGAAATAACTTTGCAAAATCGAACTGTCGCAGAGTTATGTTTCTGAAACAATTGAAATCAACGAGTAAAATCGCGAAAGAATGTGCCGACATTGAATGCTGATAATTTTGAGGAAATTTCATAATAACTTTTAAGTATTTCATGATGAAGTTTACCACATTCGCAGGATTTGTGCGCCGTAATCCGGCAGAACGCAATGAACCATATTCATTTGTGTGTCGCGGTGGATCTCTAGGATGGCTGAATTTGGGTACGCTTTCTGAAGAACTCTATCATATTAGGTCATAATTCTTGAGTAGTTGCATGATTCTCAGTCAATGCATTATCAGTATGCGCTAAAATGCTGTCACTGATTTCAGAAACCGGTAAAACGAACACTCAGCCGGGTGGCTGCATACCGGTCTGCAAGGAAATCACTCACGTTTACGAGGGTACACTTATCAAAAGACAACCAAAACTCAAAGTTTCATTTGACGGTATCGAACATATCATACCCGGTGCCATATACACTTTCCAGTGTGCTCAAGGTTGCCTAGCTCTTCAGTAAATTCATGTTGCAACATTTAAAGGAGTTCTGTGTGCTTGAACCGAATTCTTTTTTTTTTCGGAATGTTTTGTTCATATCTTTCAGTTGTTTCTTTTTAAGTTAGTGAATTTATATCAGTCCGAAGAGATGTCATGGATTGCTTCAAAAATCATGAATTGTTATTTAAATGAACCAATTGCTGTTTGGTTTATCGCAAATGTTCAATGTGGATCAATTGTAATGAAAATTTTAAAAAATATGTCCAGGCTACGAATATCCACCGTCAACACCGTACAGCAAAACGAATCAACAGCAAATCTTCTGTGCTGGCGGATCGGCTGGCTATCGTGATATGAGCACTGGAGCCTTCAATGTAAATACGCAATTTTCATTTTTCCGAAATCAACACTAACTGCACGTTAACGACAACATTATGCATATGTGCTGACTGCCTATTTAATCATCAACAATCATCGATTCAGGCGAAGCCGTTTCCGTGTCAAAAGGCTGGTGCGAAAGGTTGTGACCCAATCGCTCCTTCACCTGGTAGGATATTGTATCCAGACAAGCGTGACTGTGACTATGAGGACGGAAAGAAACCGAAAGGGTGCCGTGTTCGAGTGCAATGCGAGCAAGGTATGTGTGCTACTGTGTTTGTTTCTTGGAACTGTCCTAATATGGTAGTCTTAACGAAAATAATCATTGTTCAATATTCATATGCAAATTATTGCTGAGTTCAGTGAGCTAAACGACATTTTTCAATGAGTTGAAAGTGCGACAGTCTGTAAATTTTAGGATATTATCCGCAGTACATGGGTAATGAATTCAGTCCGGTGCCACTTATTCAAAAACTTCGTTGCGCTGCTGGAATGGATGGTTGGGTGAACGAAGAAACCGGTCAGAAAAATGCCACTGCAATGAAATGCCTACCAGGATGTATCGTGAAATCTGAAGAAGTGTCCAGGAGCGTTATATTTGTTAACGACGATAGACCGAATATCGTACGTCACGCTCAGAAAATATTTGTGTTCATCTTATGCAGTGCCACGATTTTTGAGAAAATTATATTACGAGTACACTGAATTAATCGTTGAAGCTTTAAACTAAGTTACTCGGAAAATTATATTTCAGGTCTACAGGTCTAATGTAACTGTATATAAAGTTGGAGCTCAAGTAACTATAAAATGCACTGGTGGTATGCGTTTCAGTTCCAAATGTGATAGATTTTTTTCGATTTCAACGATTGATCTCATCAAAAAAGCTCGCATAGACTGAACGAATTCACTCGAGTAGATGAAATTGTTTGCTACCTCTAGATTAGTGGTAAATGCTAGGAGACTATTTTAGGCATTCTAAACATTCTTCCAAAAGAGCTGATGATCAATTCCTGCTGACAGTGAGTAATTCGTATGAAACATTGAAGATTTCGTGATGGGAACGCTTCAAGAACGTAACAGTGGTTCGGTGACATTCAAATGTATTGGCGGTGCATCGAAATGGCAAAACTTAGTGACTAAAGCTGATGGAATGGACATTAATGGCTGCTTGAGTACCTGTATAGCATTCAAGGATCCTCCACAAGGAACGTTGTTTGCATCGGTATCGCATTTTGCATGATTCATTCGATCGCTCGCATAAAATTATGCTCGATCATTCACTCTTTCTGTTCTAATGGAAAAATATTCCTTATAGATTGATTCAATCACTGAAATTTCCTCCAAATTACGGCTTACGTCTATTCAAACCTATGCTTTTTGAACTTTTCGAATTTCTAATTTGGGTATTTCTGTGTAAATTCTCATCTGGACACGTTTACGTCTCTTCGACTGCAATGCATTTTGCACTTATTTTCGCTTGTAGTATCCGGATTTGTTCTATCAAGACGGTGCTATGCGAGTTGTGCAAGGTGGAAAATATGAATTCAAATGTGCCGAAGGTTGGTGGCAGCTTTATTTGATTCAGCATTGATAGCTCTAAGACATGTCGTAATGGAGCATTTTTCATGACGGATCTGTTGCTTAAGGCTATCAATACCCACAAAATAGTCCTCACAGTAGAACAGGACGTGAAACACTTATCTGTCGTGAACGAGGGCCATCGTCAACAGGATATTTCGACCCGCTCACACAAAATTTTGTTAATCAGGTTTTTATATTCATATTTCTGGGTTGCTTTCATGAATTTGCAATTTTCGATCATTTGGGTTTCATTTGATGAAGACATATCTACGTATTAAGATAGATGTATGTGTCCGAGGCGAAACACCGGGATGCTCGAAAATAAATAAACAATTTGCACCTGAACACACAAAAGTAATCGAGATGATTAATTGCGCAGAAGAAAACGGTAAAACTTCGATTGGTTGCACTGTAATGCTGGAATGTGAGGATGGTGAGTGACTTCAATTAATTTTGACATAAAGAAATCAAAATTCTCCCGAGCTTACCTAATCGTCGATCAGAAACATGTTAACTTCAAAGACTGGTCAACGAATGTGCATCATTTAAGATATTTCATATGTGTTTGTAACTCGATGTTTATTATCTCGGTTCTATGTTTATTATCCCTACTTATGCAATAGTGTTATTTATTTATTATCTCGGTTCTATGCAATGTGATTTCCAATGATGCTTTTACGATGCACAACACAATGCTGAAACTGTTCTTCTTTATCATACTAAAATAAAGGCTCATGAATCTGAAATGAATAGAAATTTCTAGGTTTTGCGGCAACACAAGATTCGTACAAAATCAGTGGAACGCAAGAGTTGGTATGCGTGGATGACGGAGCAAAATCCTCATGGCATGACAAGAGGACCAATAGAGTGACTGATTTCATTCAGTGTCAAGCAGCTTGCCCACGCTTATCGACAACAAATAGCATTATGATAAAATCAGATCAAATATGGGTTATAAATGGTGATAAATATTTCTATCAACCTGGCTCAACAATGACAATCAAATGTGCACCAGGTTAGTTCCTAGTTACTCAAACGTTTCAATGGTATTTTCTATTTCAGTTCCACTTTCCAAGTGGCTCACAAGGCTTCCTGAGATTGTGTATGGTCTTTTCCATTTTCGATTGGTCATTTTAGGTACAATTAGTGTGGAGGAAACACAAAAAGTAGAGGAAACACAAAAAACGAAAGAATACAGATGTGAAGGTGGTAACGTGGGATGGCTTCATTTGGAATCTGGCACCAATGTCCAGTGGCCTGGTGAATCGTGTAAGGCCACGTGTGAAGTGATCGATCGACAAGAAGGATTCATAATGTTACAAGTGATCTTATGCCACATTCAACGCCTTTTATCATCGATCGCCTTTAAATCACTTCCAAACAATAGAGTCGAAACGAACGAAACGAAAGAATTTAAACACATCTACGCTGCGAGATAAATAGTATCCTCTATACCTGAACAAATACCCAATTTTCCATATAAGCTCTTGGTTTCAAAGGCAGTTTCGAAAATTGCATTGCATAAAGCCGCCCTACTTGCAGCAAGCAGCTTCATTCGAAATCGATGGTTCAATGAGAGTCGTCGAAGGTGGTGAATACTCCATCAGATGCAAGGAAGGTTGCGAATTTCACTCTTTCACATAAACCATGCGCTTTTCATGCAATCTTAAGTTCATGTAATGAAAAGGGAAAATAACGGATTTGCATCATTTGTATTTCTTAGTTGTATGGTCAGCATGCATACCAAC